CAAAGAGACATTGTGAGGAACATAGATATATGGGAACGTATGTATCAGAGAACGTAAGTACAGGGAAACATAACAGGGAACATGGGTATATGGGAACATATGTACTGGGAAACATATGCATCAGGGAACATAAGTACTGGGAAAAAGAATGGGGAACATGGGTATATGGGAGCATATGTACTGGGAAACATGTATCAGGGAACATTAATATCTAGGAACATATGAACTAGGAAATGCATCAGGGAACATAAGTACAGGGAACCATGGCAGGGAACATAGGTATATGGGACCATGGGTACTGGAAAACAAAAGTATCAGGGAACATAAGTACAGGGAAACATGACGAAGAACATGGTTATATGGGAACATACTGTATGTACTGGAAAACATTTGTATCGGGGAACATGGTTATCTGGGTACATGTGTACTTGGAAATATATCAGGGAACATAAGTACATGGCGACATGGTGGGGAACATAGATATATGGGAATGTATGTACTGGGAAACATAACAGGGAACATGGGTATATGAGAACATATGCACTGGGAAACATGCATCAGGGAACATAAGTAAAGGGAAACATAATGGGGAAAATGGGTATATGGGAACATATGAACTGGGAAACATGTATTGGGGAACATGTTTATCTGGGTACATATGTACTTGGAAATGTATCAGGGAACATAAGTATACGGAAACATGGTGAGGAAGGTATGTGGGAACATATGTACTGAGAAACATATGTATCAGGGCACATAAGTACAGGGAAACATAACAGGGAACATGGGTATATGGGAACATATGTACTGGGAAACGTATCTGGGAATATGGGTTTCGGGGAACATAGGGATTAGGAAACATGTATCGGAACATGGGTATATGGGAACATAAGTACTGGGAAACGTATTGAGGAACATGGGTATCAGGGAACATGGGTAATGGGAAATACAGGTACAGGGAACATAGCTATTGGRGAACCTAGATACCATGAAACATAGGTATTGGGGAATGTGAGTATCTAGGAACATAGTGACTTAGAGACATGAGTACAGAGAAACATAGGTACCAGAGAAYGGACTCAATGTGGCCTAGCTTTATTTTGGGGTGGGAAATCAAGTTATCAGACTTTTCTTCTTTCTTTTTCCGATCCATCTTCAGAACATCAGGTAGCAGGTCTGTCCTCACATTCACCAAACTCTCAACTAACCTACGCCACTTACAAAACCTGCAGTTTGAAGCTYGGCGATAGAGAGAGGAGGCGAATCCTTCATTTGTGAAACTGCACKTGTTTAATGAACAATGCCCTTATCGTAGGCTCGACTGATCACGCAGTAAAATCTACCGAGACGCACGGCGGGCTTTAAGGGAGCGCACTGCATTGCAACGGTGCAAACAGATTCATTATTTGAAGCATGTATTTTTTTTCCTCCCGCTGGTAGAATTAATGAATCAGAGTTTTCATCGTCACAGCTCAGTGGGAGTGAACAGGTCGGGTTATTAAAAAGCCATTGCCGCTTCACTCGGTGATTTCAGGCAAAGGGACAGAATTGGAAATGCCCTCAACTGGTAGTTCTAATCAGGGTTTATGTTCACATAAAAGCACAGAGTCCTTGTACTTTCCTGGTAAAAGTTATTAACCTGAGAAATGTCAACAAATCTACTTTGGTCCCCGTCTCTTACGAATCTGCTCAAACAGTTTTCATTTGAAATCCTGTTTGATCTAAACATTGTGCTCATCTACTAAGTCTGAGCCATGAAGGACGTCTTTTGTGAGTGTCTTCGTCTTCACTATAGCCTCTTGTCTGTGATGTTGACAGGGGATAAAGCAACACGGTGCTGGTTTGAATTGATCCCAGAGAAGTGACACTTCTTGGCAGATGAGGCATTGTCCTTGTCTTGTAAAGATGATTTGCCTTTTGAGCAGAAACTGACTGGCGGTTGTGAATTTTGCTTCTTTTCAGAATTAATCAGCACAAAAGGGGGATTTTTTTATATATCCTTTGTGTTTAGAGTTTTTTGTGCCAGCCTATCTAAGAGAAAAAAGACCAAAGAAATATTGTTAATGGGAAAGTCAACTGAGTGAACAAGTCATAAGGAAAACAGRTGGTTGGGTTATAAAACTTGTCCAAATAACCCACAATCAGTGTTGTATAAAGTCCCACAAAGTGATACTTGAGTAAAAGTACAAGYATCTTATCATAAAAATACTTTGGTAAAAGTTAAGGTCTTCTCTAAAAATATTACTTAAGTAAAAGTCTTAAAGTATCTGATATTTTTTGCACTTAACTATCAAAAGTAAATTTCTGACACAAAATCTACTTAAGTATTAAAAGTAAAAGTACTGAGTAAAAGTGAGCAGTTAGATTTTCCCAAATGACGTGTATTGGGAGGTGACTTCTCCAAAAAATATATTTTTTTCTAACGGCGTGCAGCTGTGGGTTGTGTACAAAGTAATACTGTCAGAATGGTAAATATTTATACTTCTCATCCAACCACTATTAAATTCACTCTATCCAGGAGACACAATTTATCGGGATAGTATTTTTTAAGCAACAACTCAGAATAAAATAGGAGTAACAACTTTCTGCTTCTTACCTTTTTAAACAGTGTGGTGCGTAGAAAGTACAGATTGTGTAAAAATGTAACGAGTAAAAGTAAAAAGTACGCTGAAAAATAATTACTCAAGTAAAGTACAGATAAGCAAAATTTCTACTTAAGTACAACAAAGTATTTGTACTTAATTGCTTTACAACTCTGCCCACAATTTATTATTTGTTTGTCAAGGATTCACAGTTTCTATAGTATGAAGCAATTAAACTCACTACAGCTTAGTTAGATTTACAGATACTGAGCTCAAATTTGGAGTTGTACTCCAAACACTGAAGGATTTTGTTTAAAATTAGCCTTATAAATTGACATAATCCTTGTAAATTTCATGTCACTACTTAGGTTTTTCTTTTGCAAATTATTTCATTTTTTTGTCCAGTTTGGTTTAATTTGTTCGTTTTCAGTCGATGACTTTGTTTCTGCCCACTGCCTTGGCCATCAGCCTTTTTCTCTCAATCGCTCCTTCATCAACTTGCCAAAACTTTTCCTCCAAGCGAAGAAAAGTCACCGGCATCTTTCTCTCCAAAACTCATTTCAGCCTTAAAGAGTATAGAAAACAAGTGATTCACCTTTTGGATTCAGGCTTCTAATGCTGTCTGACTGCTCACATCCAGTTTGGGTGCAAAACTCCATTTTATTGATTTCTGTAAAGACTGAATTCTTCTTTACCAGCTGACAGCCTCTTCATACATTTCTCACACGGCTAAAGCTCTGCGATGCCAGCGAACCCAATTCGTGCTCCGTATGTGGCCRGATTAAAGATGAAACTGTTTTATAAAATTAGCTCTGTTTCAGTTCCTTCCATTTGCACTTTTTCTGAGAAAAGATAAAGATAGCCTGTAATTAAATGCCAACATCTCAGACATTTGCACAGTGATCTTTTTAGGGCCTGAAAGATAGATTCCCCAGTGAGTCAGCAAACTGAAATATAT